CCCACCTGTCATTTTGCTCCTCAGCATGGCTTCCTAAAAACGCTGCAGGATTTCTCAAACATGCATGAATGAGTCAAATCAAGGCTTTGGGCATGTTTTTTTTATGAGAGTATAAGATTATAACATGATAAAAAACTCAAAAAAGTTTATTTATTTTACATGACATTGCCCCTTTAACAGGTGTTCTGACATTTTCTAGTAGGGTTTAAAAATATAATTCATTGTCACTGTGGCAATAAAAATGGCTTAAACTCTAAAAAAAAAGATCTCATTATGTTCCCATGCTAGACCAAAGTGTTTTCTTTCAACAGACAGTATTTGTTCATAAAAAAGCCTTTAAGTCAGCTTTTAATACAGAGCCATAATTTTTTTAAAAAACGGCTAATGTGAGAGAAGCTTTCAGCTGCTTCACACGTTATTGTACGTCTTTGCTCTTGGAGAGCTCTTTGTTCGCCGACGGTTCCCGGGGAGGAAAACAATAGWGTAGAATTTCCTCTGTTTGTAGAAAGTTTATCTGGCCGCCGACTGGTGGACTTCAAATCCTTTAAAGACGAGGTTTGTGAACTTTTCCAGCTCGCGGAGACTGAAAAGCTGTTTATCTGAGGTCCTGAAAAACACTTTTTGWTTGCTGTGAGACACAAACATGAGCTGACTTTGTTAGATTATGTTCCTTAAAAAAAAAAAACAGGATGTTCAAACTTTCATTTTCATCTCCCAGCCTAAAAACACACATCTGTAGTTCTACCAGAAAATGACCTGGGGCCTCATGTATCAACAGTGCATACGCACAAAAACCTTGCGTACGCCATTTTCCACGCAAAACTCCGGATGTATCAAAACTCAACTGAACGTGGAAATATGTGCAGCCCCACGCCAACTCCACGGCTGGCGTACGCACGTTTCTGTGTTTCTGGTTCCATTGGCGACACTTAGAGGTGATTCTGAGAAACTGTTCATGATGTGAAAATGATTATTGTTCACAGCAGACTCACATGATTAACAATTATTACATCCACATGATTAACAATTGCAGTTAAATAAAGGACGTGCAAAGTTGTGCCAAAAATACATTTAACAGGAATGGATTCAGCCTTACTGGAGGATATAATAAATAGTGTAACACGCAGAGCTTTTATTTATAAATAGATAGAATTTTCTCATCAGCCGTTTTGAGGAAAAAAATCATTTTTTAGTTTTGGCACTGCTGCGCTCTGTGAGCGCGACGCAGCGAGCCGCATGCGCCACGCCTGCACGTGCAGCAGCAGCGATTGAACTGGGGTTCCGCAGGAGCTTTCCAGAGGGAACTGGCAGACCCATCGGGACCTTGTCAGTCCAGTCCACCCAAAGCTGAGTCATGACCAACGGAATCGTCTCATCCATATGATTCTAAAGGCTGAGTTATGGTCGCGCTCTGGAGCGCGTGCACCCTCGCCGGCAGTGGAGGTGTTTCATACGTTGCCTTTACGTTGTTGTAGATTTCTCCAAAATGACACATGGAAGTACACTTTACAACTTGTGAAAATGCTGTAAGTAGGAGAGCAAAAGCTTGAAAGACAAACAGACTAAACACAAAGGCTGCAGTGTGCACAGCATTTGTGAGGACTCTCCAACATCACGTCACGTCATGTGAACTCGAATGAGACGCAGAGACTCGTTTCTTCATATCAGCTACGAAATAAACTAAGATCTATGTTCTACCAAACTCAGTTCCACCTTAATTGTGATGTACAAAAGCAACGTGCGTTGATTCAGGCGTACGCACAGTTTGATACTTCTGGATTTTTTTGTGCGTACGCCGTTTTCTGGATTTGACCGTATGTCAGGTTTCAGTAAGAAATCCACGCAAGTCTTTGTACATGAGGCCCCTGATGATCAAWGAAGCTACTGTAATTGACTTTTCCATGTTCATCCTGTGTGTCTGTGCTAACACATCATGCAATAATAATACCATTTTGCTCCTAATGGTATTTTAATTTTTTTTCTTACCAAAATGGCTACAACTCCTTCATTTCTCACCACCGTGTGGGTTTTACTCACCTGCTTTCTGCRACTGCCTTGTCCAGACGACTGAACACGTCGTGGAACAGGATGCAGCTCGATTTGCGGTTTATGTCATAGCCATAGCTTCTTTTCCAGAACTGCTTCAGATCAATTAGGTACTCCATGACCTGTCGAACCAAATATTTTAGTCACAGTTTGTCTGAGTTACATTTTTTGGATTGATATGAAAAAAATTGTTAAATTCAACGAGTTTCAGTCATGATATGTAGCATTCGTGGAAGAGAGACTTTTTTTTAATGGTAGCAAAAAGAAAAATCCTTAGAAATAAAAAAATAATAATTATGACACACACTTCATGGCTTAATTCCCACACTTCCCTCAAAAATCAACTAACAGATATTACCGTAAAAAAAAACTTTAATAAACTTGTTCCTCATTTGACCAGCCAGTCTATTGATATTAATGTTTCAAAATCTTACTATTTCAAGGATCTATAAATAAAAGGACTTGGTTCCCTATAAAAAGAGGTCTGGGGCAGAGGAGGACTATAAAAGATTTGATGTTGTCCTCAAACTGAGGTATCAGACGTTTTCAGGTGTGTAGTTGGTCGTGTACCTTTGCGTCGACCTCATCGAAAAGCTGACACCACGGGGAGTTCACCGTCTTTATGGCAAACTCGTACGCACACAAGTAGAGTGCACCTTCTGCCATATCTGGAGGAGCAAGGACATTAAAAATAAATAAATAAATTCAGTCAACAAATGATGCCAGTCAGGCAGCTGCCAGAACAAAAAAAAAAACAAAAAACAAACAAACAAACAAAAAAAAGGAACATAATCGCCCAGGATTAGTTTACATTAGAAAACAGCGCCATCTACTGTTTAAATACACACAGTAAAATACTGACCACCAAAACCTGATGACAGATTAGCACAATAGACGTAAGGATGCATTGAAATCACTAGCTCAATTATTTCCCTTTTTCTTTCATTTTTTTTTTGGTTGTTGTTATTTATTTTTCCTCAACTCCAAAACGAGGGTGGAGCACTACAGATGATAACCTATTTGATCTACAACTTCATCTATTACACAACATATGCTTCGAATGGGATACCAAAAAAAGGAATGTTACTGTAATGTATTTGTAAAATATTTAAAAAAATTGTAATAAATATTATAAACATGCTTACAGCCAAGAGCAGATCTTACCTATTTGGTTATGATTTTAATATTTTAAGTTGTTGTATTATGAACTTGTGGTCTTGTCTTTGAGACATGCCTTTTATTGTTTTAATCTATTTGGTTTTATTATTATTATTATTATTTTTTGCTTATATACTGTATACTGACCAGGTGTGATGCGAGCGTAAGGGACTCCCAGGCGATCTGCGATCCTCTGCTGGACCCGGGTCATCTCAGGCCCCTGCTGGAACTCGTTGAACTCAGTCAGTGCCGAGGGGTTGTTTTCGACCTCCTGCACAAACCTGGCGCACTGATCGAAGAACCTCATGAGGGCATCGTTCACCTCGTGGTCAAACTCCACATCTGCGTGGGAGATATAGGCCACGGGTAGCACTGATGCAATATCCTACAGTTAACAACATGTTGTGTAATCCCAAGTCTGAGAAAGTTGGTACGTTTTGAAAAAAAAAAAACGTAAATAAATTAAAATAATGTTAACCTTAGTCACATAAACTCAGGATTTATTCACAATGGAACACAGTAAGAAATTACAGTACATCCTCCATACTTAAGAACATGCCCATCCAGCCTTGTATCAGTGCACAGTTCAAAAGCCTGCCTCTCTGCTGGTATAGGGGTGTATTTATGCTTCTGTTATGAGCAGCTTACACCATCATTGCAGAAAAGTATATACAGGGTTAAGAACACACAGTTCCCATCCAGCAAATGTTTTTTTTTTTTTTTAGATTTTTTTTACGGGGAAGGCCTTGCCCATTTCAGCAAGACAATGCTAAATACTGTCCATTACAATAACATGGCTTTGTAGTAGAAGAGCTGGGGTGCCTGCAGTCCAGACCTCTCACTAATCAAAAATATTCTTATCATGAAATAAAACTGAGAAATATCTGATTTTTACAC